AAAAAATTAATTTTCATTATAGCTAGCTATGGATAAAAGTCTGGTTTGTTTTTTCTCACATATTTTAACCTGTACACACACACACACACACACACACACACACACACACACACACAGGGATTTTTTTTTTTTTTTTACACGTAAGCGAGGTCATACTATACATATTTGTTTTGGGATGTCTTTTTTCTTTAACATCTAGGATCTTTGATGTCCATTCATGTAAATCAGCCTTGTGCTTTTAATAGTTGTATAGCATTCCACTGTATTAATAGCAGTTAATATTATTTAGGCATTTGCTGTGAGTCAGCATCTATGCTAAGCATTTAATATTATAATCTCATTTATACTTATGCCGGTCCTTAGGGGTGGGTATTTTTATTATCTTCATTTTGGAGATGAGAAAAATATGAGATTGGGTAGATTTCCCAAGACCACGAAGTCAGCAAGTATCAGAGACAGAATTTTATTCCAGGCAACCTGATTTTAAAGTTTTTATTCTATATTGCCCTTTTATGGATCTACCATAATTTATTTAAATAATCACCATTAATGGACTCTTAACGATGTTTTCATTTTTCAATTTGTTCATTCATTCAGTGAGCAAGTATTTTTTGAGTGCCCACTACCTACCACACTTTAGTTAAGACACGAGGGATTCAACAGTGGAAAGCTAAACAAAAATTCCTCCCCTCATGGAACCTACTGGAGAAAATAGACAAAACAAATATGTAAATATATATAATATAATAAAGAAAAAATATAGCAGTGAGGAGAGATATGAACTGTTGTGGGTAGAGAGCTAGAATTTTAGAATGTTCAGGTTAGGCCTTTTTGAGAAGATAACATTTGAGCAAAGACCTGAAGGAAGAAGGAGCACCAGTCTTGTCAGTATCTGGGGGAAGAACATTCAAGGCAGAGGGAACAGCATGAACGAAGGCTTTGAGAAACAACAAGGAGGCCAATGTGGCCAGAGTGCAGTGAACAAGGGGAATCGTGGTAGAAGACAATGTTAAAGAGGCATAGGTACCAGATTATGTCGTTCTTCCAGGTCTTCTGGTACAGATTTTGGCTTTAACTCTGGGTGAGTTGGAAAGTTAATAAAATTTTGAGCACAGAAGGGACAGAATTTCACATTTTAACAGCATCAAACTACTGAGTATAGACTGAGGGAGATAAAGGCAGACACAAGAGCTCTTGCCAACATGGCTTGGAGAGTGGTCGAATTCTGGGAACTTTTTCAGAGTAGAACCTATGAGATCAGATGTAGCATGTGAGCATAGAAGAATTAAGGGTGACTCCATTGTTCTTTACCTAAAGCAATGAGATATATTAAATGTGAAAAATCTGTTATAGGTCCACAGGGAGATAGCAAGTAGAGAGTTGCCTATAGAGCTCTGGAATTCATAGAAGCCCAGACTGGATTATAAATTTAGGAGTTGTCAACATAAAAATGATCTTTTAAAGCTAGGTTCCCAAGTAAAATCACCTAGGGAGTAAGCAAAGAGGGTCAAGAATAAAATCCTGGATCATGTGAATCTTACAAAAAGGCTGCAATCAACATTCTTATACGTGTTCTTTGCATATATATGAAGTTATTTCATTCAAGATGTTTCTGTAGAAGGATCAAAGGACATTTTTTTTTCTTTTTAAATTTGGTAGTTGCTCATAAACTGACCTCTGTATCAATCTGTATTCTCAGTTGGAAGCAACAAAAGTCCAGACCACCTGAAGCAAATAGTTTTCTTATACATTTCCTTCCACTGAGGAAGTGTAGGGGTCAGTACTGACCAGCGGCTTGAGTAGTAGGCTTCAAAAATGAATGAAAACCAAGGGAGCTCTATGGACTGAGCAGCAGGAAAGGGTTCATCAAGATAGTACTGTAGCCACTGTCAACACTGCAGACAGATGTGCTGAATGTGGCTTTGACCATTGCAACATTGGCACTGCAGCTGCCATCCCTGCATGAAATTGAACCTTGCCACCATAAATCAGAAGTCAGCAACAACTCCCCTTGTCAAATCCAGCTTTCCACACATTTTCGTAAGTAAAGTTTTACTGGAACAAGTGCCACCTGTTCATTTACATATTGCTTATGGATTCATTTACATATTGCTTATGGAAACTTGCACATTACAGTGGCAGAGTTAAGTTATGGCAATGGAGAATCAATGGAACACAAAGCCAAAATTACTTACTCTCTAGCCCTTGACAGAAGTTTGCTGACCTGTGCAGTAAGTGAAATTCAACACTCAGTTTGCTAGGGTTGCCATAAGAAGGCACCACAGACTGGGTGGCTTAACCAACAAAATTATTTTCTCACAGTTCTGGAGTTTAGAAGTCCAAGATCAAGGTGTCAACAGGAATGTGTTTTCCTGAGCCCTCTCTCCTTGACTTGTAGATGGCTGCTTTCTCACTATGTAAATCACATGGTCCTTCCTCTGTGCATGTCTGTGTCCTAATTTTCTCAGAAGAACACTGGTTAAATAGAGGGAAGCTGGAGGGGGGTGCTGGAGGGATGTGGTAATTGGGTGATGGACAATGGGGAGGGCATGTGTTGTAATGAGCACTGGGTATTATATAAGACTGATGAATCACAGACCTGTACCCCTGAAACAAATAATATATGTTAGTTAATTGAATTTAAATTTAAAAAAAGAAGAACACCAGTTATATTAGATTATGACCCATTCCAGTGACCTCATTTTAACTTGATTACCTCTTTAAAGACCCTACCCCCAAATATAGGTACATTCTGAGGGAAGCACTTTGTTTCAAAAGCACTTTCTTGGCTGTCCCTTTTTTTCCCTCAAATAAACATTCAAGTAACATATTAAATTCTCTTTGTAATGCTGTCTGGGATTTTTATTGGGATTGCATGGAATTTATAGATTAATTTGGGGAGAATAGATGCCATCATCATATTGAATTGTCTCAGTGAGGAGCATTGGATGTCTCTTAATTTATTCAAGAATTCTTTTATATTCTTTAGTAAAGTTTTTTTTTAATATGGGTTTATATACTTTTGTAACGTTCATTTCTGAGTATATTATAGAACCAGTTGCTATTATGTATGGGATATTTCCATTACATTTTCTAATTGGTTATTGTTTCTATATGGGAAAACTACTGATTTTTGTAAGTTTATCTTTTATTTGGATAATTTACTGACTTTCATAGTTCCAATTAAGTTGTTGATTTTTTTTTTGGACTTTCTAGTTGAAAATAGTATTAACTGCAAATAAGATGGTTTAATTTCTTTATTACACATACACATACATATATATTACATGAACATAAATATGTACATATGAAGAAGGAGAGATACAGAGTGGAAGAGGGCAAGAACTTATTTCTTTTTCTTGTCTTTTTGCATTGACTTGGGCCATGTAATACTAGTTTTGTCCATTGTGAAAATATCTTTTGTCTCCAAACATTGATGTATCTTTCTTCCGTTTCATACTTCAGAGAAATACAGACAGGGAACAACAAATATAAAAAGATGAAATGCCTACATTTGAGTATGTTGCTATCTGCAGTTCTGGCAAACAATAAAAACTGACATAGAAAACCAGGCAACCAGTGCCCCAAATAGATGTGTGATAAGTTAGTATTTATTATGGTCTAGATCAGGACTGTCTAGTAGAAATTGAAAATACTTTCACATAAAATAGTCCATCCTTTACTAGACCACACAAAAATGAATGGATACACTTCAAATTAATTGTTGCTGATTAAGGGAGGAAGGAAAATGGGAATGGGGAATGAATATTCAGAGGAATAAATAAATAAATAATAAATAAATAGAAAAATTTTGAAAGACTGCAAAAAAGAATAGGGGTAGTCTCCAAACAGCCATGCCAACTCTTGTACATGTTTATTTAATATAATCTTTAACAAGCTTGGGATATACTAATGCAAAGCTAAGTTTCCTGAATACCTGTCAATACTGAATTATCAAGAGTCTCTTCCTTAGTAAACTCAAGTGACCAGAGAATTATTGCTTTGTGGTTTTGGTAACTCTTTAGCGGGTGTAGCTAAATTATGAATATCAGAGAGCAATAGAAGAAGGAGTCAAGTTGGTTTACTTTTATAGCAAACCACTCTGGCAGGGGGGTCGGGGGGATGTCTTCACTCCAAGATAATGTGGTGACACCTCTTTGCCCATATTTTCTCTCCAATATCTCCACCAGCCATTTCTTTCTGATACCTGGGAGCGAGGATGTTTCTCTGTTTTGAGAGAGATGATATACTATTGGCAAAATCTTTCCTAGGGAGTCTTCTAGGTAGGGTTTAAGCAAACCATAAGAGACTCTTAACTAGAGGGAACAAACAGCATTGCTGGAGGGGAGGGGGATGAGGGAAGGGGGTAACTGGGTGATGGGCATTAAGGAGGGCACGTGATGTAATGAGCACTGGGTGTTATATGCAAGTTATGAATCACTAAATTCTATCCCTGAAATTAGTAATACACTATCTGTTAACTAACTTGAATTTAAATAAAATCTAAAAAAATATTCAAATGGAAGTGGAGGAAAGAGCTCTGTGTTGGGTGGTCGCTATGTGGAAGCCAAGTTTTTTTTTTTTTTCTTTCCTAGTTGTATTCCATTAAACAGCCTGCACTCTTTTTAATCATTCCTCATAGTGTTCTAGGCAGGAGTAACTGTCAAATAGAAGAATATGAACTCAACAGGGTGCAATCATAAAATAACTTTATGTTTCCTCCTGTGGCCCTTTCAAACCAACTCAGTGTGCTTGTTTAAGTCCCATGGATTTTCCAGTAACTCTTAGATTATAAAAAGTCCTCAATCGCTTCAAGTCACGAGAATAAGTCTCAGTTCAGCAATTTAAGGATGCAGCCCAGTTTAATAATAAAACTCTGAACTTCATTTGGAGTTTGAGATTCTCCCCTCCCCCAACTTGATACGACTACTTTGAGCTGAGAATCTAAGACTAGGAGAGGTTGGCAATATCAGTTTCTGTCTGTTCTACTGACATGTGCTTTGTCTTCACAAGCACCCTTCACTCTACCCCACTTTGCTGACTGCCTCCACCAGGGTTGAAGCTAGGGGCAGGAGAAAGAGGTAAGGAAAAGGGAAATTCCTCCTTCATTGAACAAGATGTTATCTGGCATTACAGATAATTCCTCTGCAATTTCTACTTTTTTAAAAAATTTTTTTATTGTTATGTTAATCACCATACATTACATCATTAGTTTTGAATGTGGTGTTCCATGATTCATTGTTTGTGCATAACACCCAGTGCTCCACGCAGAATGTGCCCTCCATAATACCCATCACCGGGCTAACCCATCCCCCACCCCCCTCCCCTCTAGAACCCTCAGTTTGTTTTTCAGAGTCCATCCTCTCTTATGGTTTGTCTCCCTCTCCGACTTACTCCCCTTCATTCTTCACTTCCTGCTATTTTCTTCTTTTTCTTTTTTCTTAACATATGTTGACATTATTTGTTTCAGAAGTACAGATCTGTGATTCAACAGTCTTACACAATTCACAGCGCTCACCATAGCACATACCGTCCCGAATGCCTATCACCCAGCCACCCCATCCCTCCCACCCCCCACCACTCCAGCAACCCTCACTTTGTTTCCTGAGATTAAGAATTCCTCATATAAGTGAGGTCATATGATACATGTCTTTCTCTGATTGACTTATTTCACTCAGCATAACACCCTCCAGTTCCATCCACATCGTTGCAAAAGGCAAGATCTCATTCCTTTTGATGGCTGCATAATATTCCATTGTGTATATATACCACCTCTTCTTTATCCATTCATCTGTCCATGGACATCTTGGCTCTTTCCACACTTTGGCTATTGTGGACATTGCTGCTATAAACATTGGGGTGCACGTACCCCTTCGCATCCCTACATTTGTATCTTTGTGGTAAATACCCAGTAGTGCAATTGCTGGATTGTATGGTAGCTCTATTTTCAACTGTTTGAGGAACCTCCATACTGTTTTCCAGAGTGGTTGCACCAACTTGCATTCCCATCAACAGTGTAGGAGGGTTCCCCTTTCTCCGCATCCCCACCAACATCTGTTGTTTCCTGACTTGTTAATTTTAGCCATTCTGACTGGTGTGAGGTGGTATCTCATAGAGGTTTTGATTTGGATTTCCCTGATGCCGAGCAATGTTGAGCACTTTTTCAAGTGTCTGTTGGCCATTTGGATGTCTTCTTTGGAAAAATGTCTGTTCATGTCTTCTGCCCATTTCTTGATTGGATTATTTGTTCTTTGGGTGTTGAGTTTGATAAGTTCTTTATGGATTTTGGATACTAGCCCTTTATCTGATATGTCATTTGCAAATACTTTCTCCCATTCTGTCGGTTGTCTTTTGGTTTTGTAGACTCTTTCTTTTGCTGTGCAAAAGCTTTTTATCTTGATGAAATCCCAATAGTTCATTTTTGCCCTGGCTTCCCTTGCCTTTGGCGATGTTTCTAGGAAGAAGTTGCTGCGGCTGAGGTCAAAGAGGTTGCTACCTGTGTTCTCCTTTAGGATTTTGATGGACTCCTGTCTCACTTTGGGTCTTTCAACCATTTGGAGTCTCTTTTTGTGTGTGGTGTAAGGAAATGGTCCAGTTTCATTCTTCTGCATGTAGCTGTCCAATATTCCCAACATCATTTGTTGAAGAGACTGTCTTTTTTCCATTGGACATTCTTTCCTGCTTTGTCAAAGATGAGTTGACCATAGAGTTGAGGGTCCATTTCTGGGCTCTCTATACTGTTCCATTGATCTATGTGTCTGTTTTTGTGCCAGTACCAGACTGTCTTGATGATGACAGCTTCGTAATAGAGCTGGAAGTCCGAAATTGTGATGCCGCCAGCTTTGCTTTTCTTTTTCAATATTCCTCTGGCTATTTGGGGTCTCTTCTGGTTCCATACAAATTTTAGGATTATTTGTTCCATTTCTTTGAAAAAAGTGGATGGTATTTTGATGGGGATTGCATTGAATGTGTAGATTGCTCTAGGTAGCATTGACATCTTTACAATGTTTTTTCTTCCAATCCATGAGCATGGAACATTTTTCCATTTCTTTGTGTCTTCTTCAATTTCTTTCATGAGTATTTTATAGTTTTCTGAGTACAGATCCTTTGCCTCTTTGGTTAAATTTATTCCTAGGTATCTTATGGTTTTGGCTGCAATTGTAAATGGGATCGACTCCTTGATTTGTCTCTCTTCTGTCTTGTTGTTGGTGTATAGGAATGCCACTGATTTCTGTGCATTGATTTTATATCCTGCCACTTTACTGAATTCCTGTATGAGTTCTAGCAGTTTTGGGGTGGGGTCTTTTGGGTTTTCCACATACAGTATCATGTCATCTGCAAAGAGTGAGAGTTTGACTTCTTCTTTGCTGATTTGGATGCCTTTGATTTCTTTTTGTTGTCTGCTGTGGCTAGGACTTCTAATACTATGTTGAATAGCAGTGGTGATAGTGGACATCCCTGCCACGTTCCTGACCTTAGGGGAAAAGCTCTCAGCTTTTCCCCATTGAGAATGATATTCGCTGTAGGTTTTTCATAGATGGCTTTTATGATATTGAGGTATGTACCCTCTATCCCTATACTCTGAAGAGTTTTGATCAAGAAAGGATGCTGTACTTTGTCAAATGCTTTTTCTGCATCTATTGAGAGGATCATATGATTCTTGTTCTTTCTTTTGTTAATGTATTGTATCATGTTGATGGATTTGTGGATGTTGAACCCACCTTGCAGCCCAGGGATAAATCCCACTTGGTCATGGTGAATAATCCTTTTAATGTACTGTTGGATCCTGTTGGCTAGTATTTTGGTGAGAATTTTTGCATCCATGTTCATCAAGGATATTGGTATGTAATTCTCCTTTTTGATGGGGTCTTTGTCTGGTTTTGGGATCAAGGTAATGGTGTCCTCATAAAATGAATTTGGCAGTTTTCCTTCCAATTCTATTTTTTGGAACAGTTTCAGGAGAATAGGTATTAATTCTTCTTTAAATGTCTGATAGAATTCCCCTGGGAAGCCATCTGGCCCTGGGCTTTTGTTTGTTGGGAGATTTTTTGATGACTGCTTCAATTTCCTTAGTGGTTATAGGTCCGTTCAGGTTTTCTATTTCTTCCTGGTTAAATTTTGGTAGTTGATACATCCCTAGGAATGCACCCATTTCTTCCAGGTTATCTAATTTGCTGGCATAGAGTTGCTCATAATATGTTCTTATCATTGTTTGTATTTCTTTGGTGTTGGTTGTGATCTCTCCTCTTTCATTCATGATTTTGTTGATTTGGGTCATTTCTTTTTTCTTTTTAATCAGTCTGGCCAGGGGTTTATCAATCTTGTTAATTCTTTCAAAGAACCAGCTCCTAGTTTCGTTGATCTGTTCTACTGTTCTTTTGGTTTCTCTTTCATTGATTT